TCTGGACTGTGGGACTTTTAAGTGGTCCATGGCTATCTGAGGATCTTTAGCCCAGGTAGCTAATAACTTGATAGCCTAGAGGGCACTTCCTTCTGAAAGCATAGAACTTATCCTGTTTGTCAGTGAATTTGCAAGTAACTCTGATCTTAGAGATATAATTAATACTCTGGATGACAGAAGTCAAGATTGAAAAGACTTTAGAAGAGTTAGTTCAGTTCAGTCACTCAGTCGTGTCCGATTCTTTACAACCGCGTGGACTGCAGCACGCCAGACTTCCTTGTCCATCACCAATTCCTGGAGCTTGCTCAAACTCATGTCCATCAAGTCAGTGATGCCATCCAACCATCTCATCTCCTGTCGTTCTCTTCTCCTCCTGCCTTCAGTCTTACCCAGCATCAGGGTCTTTTCCAATGAGTCAGTTCTTCACATCAGATAGCCAAAGTATTGGAGTTGCAGCTTCACCATCCGTCCTTCCAGTGAATATTCAGGACTGATTTCCTTTAGAATTGACTGGTTTGATCTCCTTGCAGAAGAGAATGGTCTAAAGCAAACAAGATGGGATTTAACAGAAATAAATATTATAAAGCAGAATTTAGATTTTTTTTTTTTTTAATTACACAAGTATAGTACAAAAGGACAAGCCTAGACTTAGCAGGAGTCTGTTATTTCTGGTTTAAGTACATACGTGGACTCAGGGTTCTGGTTGGCTGCATACAGTGATGAGTCAGTGCTTTAGTGTGTGTGCCCCCCAAAGCCAGCACAGTCTTTGACTGTATAAATACAAGTATGGTATCTGGCTTGAGGGAGGTGCCATTCTCTGCATCCTTTGCTGGTCAGGGCACATTTTGAGGTTGTGTCTGGTTCTGCCCTTCTCCAAGGGATCTTCCTGACCCAGGGGACAAACCTGCATCTCTTGTGTCTCCTGCATTGGCAGGCAGCTTCTTCACCACTGCACCACCTGGGAAGCCATGCCCAAACCGCACCCCCCGCCCCATGCAGCCATACTTATCCAGGGCCTTCCTGTCTCAGCCATGGCGGCAGTCCTAGAAAAGACGTGAGGGGAATTTGGTTAATTGGCTTAGATGTGGTCCCTTAAAGCTTTCTCCCCTTACTCTTGAGATTTGATTCTGCTCTTTTGATGGAAAATGACCTTCTGCTAACCTTGAAGTGCCATCTTAAGCCCTAGTATTAAACTGTCTCATTTTTAGCCACCGCTTCCTTTCTCTGTGTGTAGCTATTTCAGACCAGGTTCCTTTGAGCACGGGCTGGCCGTGGACTCCCAGTGTAATGGGTGCCCTGGTCTCTGCATCCTCTGTCTGTCCATGTCTGGCACCGGAGGCTCTTACATGTCTCAGTGTCCATCTGCTGTTGTTTTTTCTCCTTTTATTGCCTGTTCTGGGCCCCTAGAACGTCTTCTCTGTGCTCTGAGTCCTTCAGAGATGGCCTGACAGAACAGATGTGGTCTGCCTTTTTTTCTTCTTTTCTTTGGGGAGAAGCTAGAAGGTAGAAGAAGATATCTAAATCAAATATCAGAACTGGAATAGTAGTAGAAAATAAAACCAGTGCTATTTGAGGCTCTTCTCCTCCATATTTATTTTAGCGTATTTACCTCATGCATCTTGTGTTACATCAACAATAACATTTGTATTTAGTAAATGATTTCTTATAAATAATTGTAAATAGTAAATAGTCCAAGGGATGTGTGGGTGTATCTCCACCTTGAAACTGGAGCTCCTAACTTAACAGTGGTTGCAGCAGATTCCAGAACCTGATGCTGGAGGAGCTATTATGGCACACTGGACCGCAGACACAGATTCCATTCCTTGTGCTTCAAGACACAGATTTCTCCTTAACCTCCCCACCCCCAGGTTAAGAACAGAAGGAGGACATGTGGAGTGGAGAGAGGCGGGGAGCTAACGAGGCTTTCCAGGTGACTCAGGAAAGAATCCACCTGCCAGTGCAGGAGATGTGGGTTCAATCCCTGGGTCGGGAAGATCCCCTGGAGAAGGAATTGCAACCCACTCCAGTATTCTTGCCTGGAGGGTTCCATGGACCAAGGAACCTGGCAGGCTACAGTCCGTGGGGTTGCAAAGAGTTGGACACGACTTAGTGACTAAACAGCAACAACAAGGGAGCTGAGGATGGGGGTTGGTGTCGGTCACTTAACACTCACCCCGGAGCCTCATTTGCGGGCTTCCTGTGCTTCAGCCCAGGTTCAGGACTGAGGGAGTTCAGTGTCAGATAAAGGAGGGTGGTGTGCACGGAGCTTCACTCTGGAATAGAGGAAGGGGGAATGGGTTGAAGGAGAGAAGCGATGGCTGGATGAAGAAATCCCTGTGCTCTTCCTTGTTGACCAAGGCTGCTTCTGTGCAGCGTGTTGGGCAGACTGTACAGATCCCTGGAGCAGGCCGCTGATGACGTGTAGGGGGCATCGTGTGTAGTGAGAAAGCCTGCTTTCGAGAGGGGTCTCTGGCACACAGGTGGTTTGTACTGTCTGCGGGTGGGGCAGCAGTGGTGGTGGTGATTCTCTGGATTTGGACTTGATCGCTTTCCCCTACAGACAGGGATGCTCCTCACTTGTGTCGAGAGCCCAAACCTCAGCTGTTCTGTGAATAAAAGATTCCTGCCTGCGTCTTCTCCACAGGCTGCCTTCTCCTACGAAAGCAGACTCACCCCAGTGCCCAGGAGGCAGCCTCTTGTTTCATTAGAGGAGGAGGAGGAGGACCTGAAAAGGGAGGGAAGCGTCTGTGTGGTGTGGGTGCGGCTTGTCTGCTGGCTGTGGGGCATGGGGAAGAACAGGAGCACTGAACCTCGCAGCACCTCCTTCTGCAGTGCACCCCTCTCTTTAGAGCCGAAGTTGGTCTCATTTCAGCTGGTTTACACAAGTCCTGCCTCTCCCATTCCCAGGACTGACTCTTCTAGGCCCTTCTGTTTATTAGTCCTGTGCCTCAGGGCTTAGGGAGCTTACCGGCGCCTTTGTTTTGTTCAGCAGCTGATGTTTTGCTTGGTGACCTCAAATGTCTTTGTCAATTAGTTCTGCTAAGCTCTGACAATTTTATTTGACTCCCTGACTCATCCTCATCAGGGGCTTATTCCTGCTTTTTCATACTGTGATTTTTCTTCCCAACATCCACATTGAGAGTTTGATGGGTTACAGTCCAGTAGGTTTGTATAATTTGTATCTTGCCACATGTTAACATTTGTTCTGCATCCAGCATGTGTTCATGAGATGCTTGGTCACCACGGGAGGGAGCAGAGGGGACCTCCTTTCCCAAATGCAGTTCGAGGTCCTATTCCCATTGAGTGAATTAAAATAAAACAGGCCCACAAGGGGGCCGGGCGCCCAGGGCTGCTGTTGTCATGCTCAGTCGAGGAAAGGTTGAGTGGATGCTGAAGTCCCTGCAAAGAGTCGCCAGTGCTCCTGGCTCCAGAGGACAAACTGAAGGTCAAACTGAAGGGCAAGCCAGCCTGTTGTTTGCATCTGTGAGCGAGAGGCTGAGCTAGAGCTAATGCTGGCTGAAAGGGAAAGTGTTAGTAGCTCAGTCACGTCCAACTCTTCGTGACCCCACGGACCGTAGCCTGCCAGGCTCCTCTGTCCATGGGATTCTCCAGGCAAGAATGCTGAAGTGGGTGGCCATTCCCTTCTCCAGGGGATCTTCCCAGCCCAGGGATTGAGCCCTGTGTTTCCTGCACTGGCAGGCGGATTCTTTACCCCTGAACCACCTGCAAGCCCAGATGGTGACTGCTGTTCCGGGCCAGCTTTGTGCCGCTCTTGATCTCCATCGATGTTTGCCGTTGCTGCCCTGCCGTTACCTTTCAGACTTCCTATTCTTAGAATCATCTGTGAGCCCCGGGCCTGGGGGAGTGCAGCCCCCAAAGCTGGAATGCCTAGCGTGAGCGGAATGCAGACTGTCTGGCAGAGTGGAGGTTAAATAAAGTTTGCCTTGGCAGCCCCCTCCACTCTTGGATGGGCGACAGGCAGCTCAGGTCTGGAGTGATGGCACAGGCTGTGTGGTGCGGCACCAAATAAAGTCTTCTTTGTGTGAGTGACGTTGCCAGCAGTCCATTCATCCCCATCACGGCCATGCCATTCTCAACACAGGCCCCACGAAGGAGGCCTCTGCAGTGTCGGACCTCAGCAAGTGACCACACCGCTCTGGAAACCTGCAGAGACAGGGAAAGAGCTTAGGTGGAAATACCTCGCAGGCCCTGCAGATTGCAGTACCTGCCCTCTCAGTTATTGACTCATTTGTGAAAGCAAGACGGAGGGGTACATTTTCACTGTAATAAGAGCAGTTGCCAGTCAGTCAACAGACATTTCACTGTGGGAAGATTTTGTGGCGGGGAACTCTTGCAGTGCTTACAATGTAGTTGGGAAAGGCGAGCTGTCAATACATGAGGCAGTAATTAATATTCCACACTGGAATACCAGGGCTTAGTCTGTGTTGTAGAAGGAGCACCGCAGGAGGCCTAAGGAGCGAGCATTTCTGGGTGGAATGCTCAGGAAGGACTTTGTGGAGGATGTGGGGTTTGACCAGGTTTTGCCAGAAGGACAGAGTTCTACTGCTGGCGAGGAGCAGGCCTGGTCTGTCAGGAGCGACGGGTGATGTCGGGAGTCTTCAGGACAGGTTGTGGGGGCGTGGATGGGTGGCCACAGGGAGGGGTTTGTGTAAAGTCCGCAGACCCTGCGCTGTGTACCCATCACCGAGGCGTCCTTGTGCTCCTCACTGGAGGACGGTGGGAAAGGTGCCACCTCCGCGGAGCCAGCAGCCCTCAGACGCTCTGTTCTCAGCCGCCAACACATAGACGCTCATACTCAGTGCACGACTGTAACCCTGTTGTCGCTCATCTTCAAGTTGTGGGAGCCCACGCCGTCGCCGGCCTGGCCTCACCTGGGGGAACTGGCGCTGACTCAGCGTTGTTCTGTCCTCATTGCCTGGACGCCTTGCCCTGGCTCTGGGTCCGCCACACTGCCCTGACCCTTCTCTCTCCCCCCGCAGGTGGCTGGAGGTGCAGGTGGCTCATCTGACATGTCCACAGCGCTGGGTGCAATACCTCCGGCTCCTCCAGGAGTCCATCTGGCCGGATGGGGCTTTGCCCAAGTGTCCTCGGCCTGTGAGGACCCCGGAGCAGAAGGCAGCGGCTGAGAAACAGGCTCTGCAGAGCCTGATGGGTGTCTTACCAGGTGACTGCAGAGAGGCTGATGGTACCATAGCCTTCCTCCCCAGCTTGCTTTCCTGCCATTATCCCACTCCCTTCCCCTGTTTTCAAAGGGCCTTATCTGCGGCAGGACTCAAAAGATGCATTGACCTGCCATTTTTGAGGCCAACAGGAAAGTGATTGGGACTTCTGGGGATGCTGAGGGAACGGGAAGCGTCCTCGGGGCAGGTGAGGACTCCAGCCCTGTGGACCAGGGAGGAGCATGACGCACCTGCAGAAGCCTAGCTTGGGAACCAGGGGCCAACAAGTAAAGTGCACGGTCCTCAGCTAGAAGCAAACTCTGAAGAGGGCTTCTTCTCTTTGTATGATTTTTTTCGGAGGACGGGGGAGGCAGTTTGCTGCCTGTGGTCATGCTGGGGGAAGGATGGTACAGTGGTGGACTCTTCCCCAGACCGTGTTCCTTACCCTTGTTAACCTCTGTTCTCCAGCCTACACCGTTGTGTCAGAAGCAGCGACAGCTTACAGAATTGTCTCCTGGGGCCCTTTCTTATTTAGATATCTAACTTAAGAAACATTTTTGTTGGCTTTTCCCTGTCTCCTGAGGATTTAGTTTGTCTGTGTGGTTCAGAGTTGGACCAGAAGTACCCAGTGTGAATAAGGACAGCAGACATCCTGAGGAGACGGTTGCCGCAGAGGCTAAGGCTTCGTGGTGAACTAAAACCATGTCCACCTTTCCTCTTCAGATGTCATTGTAGAAATCCTCGGGGAGAACAAATGCCGGCTGAGCTGGAGTCTGGTCTTGGAGTCGCTGCATCAGCCCCTCATCAACAGGTGGGCACAGCTGAGGCCGTCTCTGGTCTCAGGGGGTCCCGGGTTTCTGGGTGAACGGCTGTACTGAGAAGACTGGGACCGCAGTGTCTCCTGCCCTGGGCCCCGGATGCAGGTGCAACGACCGTCTCCCTGGCTTCTGAGCGGGGGTTAGTTGGTCGGGAGCTGGCGGGACCAGCCACTGTTTGCGTTGTGAAGAACTCGATGCAAGCCCCCGTGGGAGCTCCTGAGAAGGCCCTGACAGCCCTCAGCACAAAGAGGTCATGGTCCCCTGGCCAGTGCCCGGGGATGGAGAATTCCACTGGTGTTGAGAGCGCATTCCCTCCCCTCTCAGCCCTGTCCTGAGCACGTTGTGTTCATGAACTCTCACTCCTCACGTCCTGTGTCTGCCTCATCACAGGTGACCTGAAGGTTCCTAGTAAGTTGTTGCTACAGGGATTCCCCTTGCTCAGAGCTCTTCAGAGCAGTGCCGACATGCTAGATGTAAAGAAATAGGAAATTTCCTTGAATCCCGTCTCAAGTACCATTTCCATTTTCGTTGCAATCCTAGCCTTCCTTAGTTCAGCAGACTTTTATTTTACGGCTGAGACATTGCAGTCCACCGAGGATATCAGTAAAGGGCAATGGGGAGGTGAGATAAATGTCATCAACAGGATCTGGTGTCCTGAGACCCCAGCCAGACCTTCCCCCAAGTTGTTCTGTTCGTTTGTTTCAGGCATTTGATTTACTGCCTTTGGGACATCATCCTGGAATTGTTGGAGCTCAGTGCCTCTGCCGAAGAATCTGCCGTAACCAGCTCCACTGCAGACACCCCAGGAAGACGGGCATCTCCCCTTAGCCAGAGGCCATTGTCCCATTTCTTTGAGGGTTAGGAAGGGTGGATCACTCTGCCACCCAGAGACCAAGCAGAAGACCATACCCTCTGGAACAGGGCTTCACTCAGAAGGCCTGGGGTCTCAGTAGCACTGCCCCTCCTCCCCCACCGCCACACACACACACACACACACTTGGTCTGTAGCAGGCGATGGGCGTATATGCACCATTGCACGCATGTCCATTTCCGTGCCTCCTTGTGATGTGTGGACTGTCGCTGGTGGGTGGATCCTGGTTCCTCTGGAAAAGGGAGCCATGGGGGAGGGGAATGAGCCCCCCTTTGCCCTCCTCCCTGACACTGTTTGCCGGGAGCCTGGCCTGTGCACACGTGCGCCTGACACCCCCCACCCTCCCCACTCCCACCCCAGGCTCCAGGGAAACTGGGAAAAGCACCACAGCTGAGTTTTCTTGGGGGAGAAGACAGTATTCTGAGTTCTCTCTTCCCACCAGGAAACACAGTTCATCCAGGAGCACTCTTGAAAGCCAGAGCGCAGGTCTCTCGAGCGTCCCCACAGCCCATGGAGGGAGACACTTCTCAAGGCTCTCTGTGCTCACCAGTGTTGCCCAGCATCCCGGCTTGCAGAGGGTGTGACTTCAGCTGCTGCCCTAGGAAGCTGCTTCCCTGAAGGGTAGACTGCCGAAGCTCCGGGGGGCCCACCCCACCCTTCCACCCTTTCCTGAGAGGGCTACACTGCAGACTGTACCAGCCCCTCCCCAAGAGCGAGTGCATGCTGGCCTCTGTGGCCTTCCCTGGCTTCCTTCACGCACCCAGCACGGCAGGTTCATTTCAGCCGTGACAAGTGAAGAACTGGACCTGCACTAGCCTAGAACATTCCTGCTTCTCCTGTCACCCTCCCCGCCCTTGCCCGTTCATTCTCAGCTTCCACTCTCCTTCGCTCATGGAGCCCGACAGCAGATGTTAGGTCCTGGGCAGAGTAAAAACGTGTGTCAGCGTGGTCTCTGGCTCTATGGGTTAGCATGCTTTAGGCTGAAATTACTAAGGACATTTATTTTTTTTCCATCAAACCAGTCCCTGAGTAGGTGAGGCCCCGAGTTGGCAGATGCAGCACCTTGGACCTCATCGAGGGCCCAGATTCTTCCCATCTTTTGGTTTTGCCTTGTAAAAACATTAGCTCATCTTCAGACCACCAACCTTCACAGTTGCTGCAGTTCAGGGCATCACATCCACATGTGATAATATCCTTGAAAGAATGGGGGCATCTCCCCCATGTTTTCTTTTTAAAAATGAGGGAACAGTTTCCCAGAAGCCCTTCAAGAGTCCTCAGGACTCATTGGCCCAAACCACCTGCCCTGAGCCAATCCATGACATTGAGGATGCTTGAACACGATTGGCTTCTAGTAGTGTTTCCACCTGGGGAGGTCACTCGCCAGGAAGGTTAGATACCTGAGAAAATAGATGTTAGCAAGGAAGAAGCAGAGGTCGGGTGTTGACCAACAGTGTCTGTTGCAGGGGTCATTCTGCCAAAATACCACCAACGCCCCCCTGTGCTCAACTAAGTGACGTTTGCCAAATGTGCCACCTGAAGCTCTTCACATGCATCACCTTCCCTCACCCACACGTCAGCCCCGGGAGATGGTTCTGCTGTGTCCCCACTTCATGGGCACACGAGGCACAGAGAGGAGGGGATGGCCACAGGTGCTTGAGGAAATGGCAGAGCCCACACACACCACCACTGTTCCAGCCCACACAAGAGGGCGGGTTCTCACCTGTGAGGAGCCTGTGGTCTGGCAGACTCCTGGTCAGGCCCGTGTGGCCACGCGGTGGTCTGCCGCAGCTACTCAGCTCTCCCACAGGGACCTGGGCAGCCGCAGCGCGTGCTCCTGCGATGGGCTGTGTCCCCCAGAGCTCTGTTCATGCGCCACAGCAGCTGCTGGGTTTAGCCCGGGAGTAGGCTGCAGACCCCATCCTAGTGAGTCAGAGCAGTGCTTGCTGAAGTCAAGTGTGTGCCAGAGTTACCTGGAGCCGGGGTAGAGACCTGGGGTGCTGTGTGTTCACAAGCTCCCAGGGGTAGCCAGCCTAGAGAGTCTAGGGGTTTGAACCCAGACAGCTCCACTTGGGTGCAGTTAACGCACCATTGAATATTAAAGGCACTTAATTGAGATTGTAATTCTATCTGAACTGACTCCTAAAGGATTTAACAAGAGAGCCTGTGGAAGCATGGGGAGTTCAGATGCAACAGTGAACCATGGGTGAAGACCTGGAGTGGCCCCACCCGAAAGACACCTGTTTTACCCACTTCCCTGAAGTGCCCGGAGTGGTCGGGCTCGGGACAGGAGAAGGCGGTTGTGGGGCAGAGGGGCGGGGGGTGCAGTGGGGACGAGCTTCAGTTCCCTGGGAGGAAGAGCTCTGGGGACCTGTTTTCATGTATATGTAGTCTATGTAGCACTGCTGAACTGCACACTGAACAATGGTTATGATGCTGAATTTTATGTGTATTTTGCTGCAATGGAGAAATTTTAAAAATAAGCTGTGTGGCACTGGGCAAGCCCAGCATGCAGGGAGGGTATGGTGAGAGCTGAGGCTGGAGCCGCCTGGGCTGGGAGGGCGCGGTGTGCCTGGAACCTGGGGTCCATTACATCCGCGTGGTGCGGGTCATGAAAGAATCCTGGGAGCGTTCATCAGCAGTCCTGGACCTTGATCACACACCCGAACAGCTCTGCCTGGTCCTGCCCCTGGAGACTTGACTCCCGCCTGCGTCATTCTGACCGCTTGAGTGCTCCCAGCCCATCCTCGCTTCCTGCTGCTGCTGCTGACATATGCAGTGGCTTCAGGGTCTCTGGAGTGTAGTGAACTTCAGGTGATAAAACCTCAGTCGGAATCCTCGCTCTGCCTCTTGGCAGAGGATGCAGATAAGTTGGGAAGGTCACCATCGCAGAGATAGATTTCTCTTAGTAAAGGGAACAGAAAGGTTACCGCCCTTTTGAGCACAGAAAGGGCTCAGGTGTAACAGCAGGCCCCGTGAATCACGTGGCCCTGCTGTGCCGTGTCGGCGGCGTGGCTTCCCCGCTCCCCTCTGCTGGGGGAGCGGAGATGCCAGGCTTGGGGAGCCCCCTCGGAACCTGCTTCTCATCTTCCTGTGCTCGGCAGGGTGTGTTTCCTTAGGATGAGTGAGGAAGGTGAGCCAGCCCTGCTAGATACAGATAAGAATGGGAACCTGGGAGGAAGGGAAACCGTGATGCTGTGGGCATAGGAGCCCAGCTGGGCAGGCTCTGCCATAACTTAGCACCTCTGTTTCCACCGGGAGAGTCAGAAATCACAGGGCAGTGTCCGCTGACACTGCCTTTGTGGACCAGAGAACAAACCCATTGCAGGGTGAATTCCAGACAGCAAACCTGCCTTAAGGGTGAGGGCGCGCTTCACACAAAATGATATCTCTCAGGAGACAGCCAGTGAGGGGAGGCACCCCAAACATCATGTCTAGACCCTCAGACTTGTCTGATACTCAGAATGCAAAGGCAGCAGTGTCTGGTTTAAAGGTGGGGGCAGAAAAACAAACCCAGAAGAATGTGTCCAGCCAGAAACAAATGTGGATCGTCACACCTTTTTCCTGCTGTGACCCAGCAGCAGGGTTGGAAGCAGGGCAAGCTAAGTGCGGTGGAGGAAGTGTGGGCATCAATAGTCACCCGGACCGACGCTCTGCACTTGTCTCGGTCTCGCTGAGCCCTCCTGCCATGTCCCTCTTGCTTCTCACCTGTCTCTGGTCTGAAAGTACTTTTGAACTTGGCTTTTTTGGAAACGAAAACAAACATGTGACAGGACACAGAGGACTACTCCTGGCTCTGATGTCTTCACCAACATGACAAAATCTGATTTCTCAGCACATCTTGATCCTTCAAACCTTACCTATAAGCTCTTCTATATGAGTCACTAGCACACCGTTTCCAGGATGTAGAGGGTTGGAAGGGAAAAAAACAAAACAGTAGAATCAAGACTCAAACTTAGAAAACTGTAAGTGACCTTGTCTACTTACTCTAATCCCAAATAGGACTCTCTGTCACTGGTCAGTGTTCGTTTAGGAGATGTAGACTAATTTTAACATTAAAGTGTTTTAAGGATTAAGAAGGTAAATCTGCAGCTTTTACATAAGCAGCCCACACTTTGACATTTTTTAAATTGAATTATAGTTGGTTAACAATATTACTAGTTTCAGGTGTACGGCAAAATGATCTGGTTACATGAATACATCCATTTTTTAGGTTTTGATTCTTTTTATTACAGTTTATTACAAGATAATCCAGTTCCCTGTGCTATACAATAAGGGCTTCTCTGGTGGCTCAGATGGAAAAGAATCTGCCTACAATTTAGGAGACCAGGTTCAATCCCTGAGTTGGGAAGATACCCTGGAGGAGGAAATGGCAACCCAGTCCAGTATTTTTACCTGAACAATTCCATGGACAGAAGAGCCTGGTGGGCTACAATCCTCCTTGTTTATTTTTTATATGGCCATGTGCATGCTTTTGACTTTTCCTTTCTTCCTTGTGTGTTCCATGTTACTGTTGCACTATATTATTATGAGCAAGAGAGAGTGGCAATCCAAGCGGGTCAGATACTTGGATTAATCCATGAGGGTGAAGACCAAGATAGACAAACACAAAAGTCTGAGATTGCAGATAAAGGCACTCACCTGAACACAGAAGCTGTGATTTCTCTGTGCTGGTAGCATTGCGTGGTGATCCGTCAGCCCAGGGCATCAGCCCTTTTGCCTATGCCCCTTGATAAAGAATCATTCTGCCGCTCGTCGCTATCAAAAAGATGAGCCTTGATTTAGCAAAATGTCTGCATTTCATCTCAAATCATGCCATTAGGGAGGACAGAACTTAGAAAAAGCAACCCTTTCTTTGGAGTTTTGTCCTTCACGAAGACATGGAGTCCCAAGTCAACCCAGGGGTGGCAAGCCAGGTTCTTTCAAGAACAGTGAGGGTCCCTTTCATCAGGGTTCAGGGTGTCTCGGAGAACTGTGTGGCCTGGGTGGGTGGTAGGTCTCTTACTCGGGGACGGAATGTGCTGTGGAGATTGTCTCTCATAAGTCTGGGGGCCTGTGCCCTGCTCTTGCCTACTTCTGTCCTCCGGGACATGCTCTTTGCTCAGGTGTGGCCCCTTCCTTACTCCAGCTCTGCACAGGTGGGCACCTTCCATCGTGAGAGCCGATTCACATGCCACCTCTTCTTTGAAGCTTTATCTGATTGGGTAACTCAGAGTTACCTACACTGCCTCTCAGATCAATGTGTATAGATATGGGGTCTTCAGCGAGAGGTTACAGTTCTTTGAGGTCAAGGAATGTCATTCCTGTTCTGCTCCTGTTACACGCTGGTGCCTCCTCAACCCTCCTGTCTACCTGCTGCACGATTGTCACTGACGCTCATTCAATTAAGGACGTTGTACTCATCAACTTTTAGGAGGCAGAATATGTGAATAAGTTTAATGAAAGAATTTGCTGGGGACAAAATAGAAATGAGGGGGAAGCAAATTTTCACTTTTAGGACCTTACATCTTTATTCTAAAGCAAGTATCACATGAAAGAAGTTCATTTTCCTATTTCCTGTTCCAAAACCCACACAGTTTTATAACAGTACTGTTTGTGGTCTAAGTGTGTAGGCCGTCATAAGTTTCTAAAGCGATATGCTTCTTCAAGAAAATTGGTCCTGATTTGAAAATGGTTTTTAAAATTAGCCAGCCACAAAAACACCCAGCACACCCTGTCTACTTTCCAAGTCCTCCACCTTCACCTCTTTACCTTACTGGGATTGAAAAGACAAAACAAAAATCTGTCTGCGAGAAATAGCCTCAACTGCTTCCTGCCCCAGATGCAAATTTGTAAGGAGTGCAATTATGGTGAGGACAAACACAGCTTTCTCTTCCATTTGCTTTCTGGAAATCCTTTGGTCCCAGATTTAAAATTTTTTATTTCATATCTTCTCTGATAGTTTAAGTCACGTCTTAAGATGCTGCAAGGAAGACCCTTCAAAGACGCAATAATAACCACAAGAGAAGGAGGACTACGGAAATGCCGCGTCACTCTCACAGGTGTTTGCTGTCTTCCCCGCCACATTCACTGCTGTAACTGTGAGCCCAAGCACAAATCAAAACTGGGCAGCTGCCATCAGAATGAAAACTCAGGAATCTAAGACGTTCGGAGTAGCTCCAGGTCAGCGTGTTGGCCCTGGGGGATAAAGTCCCCTGCTGTTTCTGGGCCCCAGTAGGAGCCTCTAGGCCATGACTTGAAAGAGGGCAACAGCAGGTGAAGGAGGAAGTTCAGTCTGCGGATTAAACAATGACGCATTTCAGGGAAAGGAGGAAACCCTAGACAACCTAGTGCTTGGGTCACGTGCTATCTCAGAGAAGGCTGGTGGAAGGGGGCCCCCGTCTGCTGTGGAACCAAGTCTGCCCCTGGGCCAGTGCACATGTGCACAACACGTGGTGTGGGACGGTCTCAGGAGCCAGTCTGGTGTGTATCCACCCCGGGGCGGGTTGGGCAGCCTGCAGTGTAAACCTCCTTGGGATTAACCACTTACTCAGGGTAGAACCCTGGGTAATTAATACCATACCTGTTCCCCGCACTTCCTACATCCTGCATAAGGGTGAGGGCCTGAGTGTTTCCTTTCCAGCGTTCTGTTTGGACGAGATAGAAGAAGCTATTGTCCTAATGTTGGAGACATAAGTCATCCCCTCGTGCAGTGCCTTGCGCAGATGTGGGCTTGTGAGTGGCACGTGGCATTTACTGGCCAGGCGAGAGCTTGTCTGGAGAGATGAGGGGGCAGTAAGTATGTGTGTATGGAGACGGCAGTAGTGTCCGGGGCCTGGAGGCTTGAAGCATGGGGCTGTGCTCTTCCCTACAGCAGTCTGGAGACGAGCAAGGCCAGAGCTTGTGTCTCAGCAGGCCTGCACTCTGGAGGAACACCCACTGCTGGGGTGGACAGACCTGAGAGCTTATAAGATTAGGGTTTCTGTAGCAGTTTCCCAAGTGACAGAAATTTTCCTCATCAGTCTTGCTCATAGCAGGCAGCCTGAACCAGCTGTTTGCCTCACCCAATTCCTTCCCTGTGTTTATTTCTGAAGCCCTTTCCTTAAAACCAAGTAAATAATAACAGGGGAAAAAAGTTCTAAAAAGACTTCATATCTCTGGCATTTTTCCTTTCTTATGCAACTCAAAAGTTGCTTTCTCTTTAGCCCCTAAATTTTTCTCCTGTATCAGCTTACCAGTCTTTGTGGACCGATTGGCTGTCCCTAGTCTAATTGTCTCTTTGAACAATCAAAGTGGACATCAACTTAAGATTATATGTAAACCTTAAATAGGTGATATTTCTTATCCTTGACTCCACGTTTGGTATTCTATGAGGAAGATTGGGGTGGGCTCCCCGAGTAGGGGACCACCATCCCTTCCCCTTGGTTGCAAGTTCAAGCAGTCTGACAGCTTGCCCAGATGG